CTGCAAAGACTTGCCGCACACTCTTCTGCGGCTAATGAGATCAAGAAGCCGCGCAGTGGCAAGGCTAAGTACACACGGCGTGCGATTATGCCGACGCTGGTGTCTCTGGCGGTTGCAGCTCTGATAAAGCTTGGCGAGGCGCTCTGCTCTGATCAGATCCTGGGCGAGAGCCAGACCAGCAACCAGGCTCTTGCCAACTCCAAACGAATCCTTGCCGATGGAGTGCTGGCAGATTCACTGGTTGCCATTGGGCTGCACCTGGTGCTGCCACTTGGGGCTGAGCGCCCACCGGGCGATTTGAGCGACACAGCAGCAATGTCTGCTTTTGAGTGGGCCAAGCAACACCAGACGGAGGCTGTAGACTGGCTGATTCGTGTTGTGACGCTGGGAATGTCGCGGCTGCGCGGCTGCACCGATGGAGATGCGCGGTCGGCGCTGGCAGATACATGGGTGACTATTGGCATCGTTCTGGGGTCGGCAGTAGGGGTGCCGGATCATATACTCACGCGGGATCAATCAGTATCGCTGGATGAGACCGCCACCGAGCGGTCTGCGGTGGGTTTGGATACTGCCGGCAATGGTCTTGCACTTTCCGCGGAGTGTCAAAACCAGGTGCTCGATGCTATTATGCACGCCAGCACTGGATACATTTCTCAATATGGTGGCGGCAGCGGTGGTGGCGACGACAGCACAATAGCTCAGGTGCAGCCAGCCGAGGTTGGAGAGTACTGGGGGCTGCTTGTGAGGATTCTCGAGTGGGGAGCTCTAATGGCTGCCGAGCCCGTTGTGCTGCTTTGTGTGGAGCAAGACGACAACATCGGCATGTTGTTCTCGGCAGCCACCGCCCCGCCTTCCTCCAGTGTTAGTAGTATGGCGCAAATGCAGCAGGCAAACCGGCAGGCACTGACAATGGAGTGCTTCCAATGGCTGTTCAGAATGTCGTCGAGTGCCGCCGCCGACACATCCTTGCCGTTGTGGGCCAGCCAGCGTGCCGCCCCGACGCTTGTGCGTCGATGCCAGACGGTGCTCGAGGCATTTGTCCGAGATAAAGCACTGCTGGGGAAAAGCCCGATGCCATTTGCCCGCGTTGTGCTGCTCAACATGGTGCTGGACAACATGGCTCGCCTGCAGTGCCGAGCCAGCGCGCTGGCGACAGGATCAAGCAAGGCTGCGACCAGCCCGGCAGCCCACCTCCTCCTGCTATGCGACAATCTCATCGATCTGCTGTCGGCTCCAGATCCTGCGGTCCTGGGCTCGATCCAGCGTTGTCTGCGGCGGATTGCTGGCGAGATAAGGCAGTAGAAAACACCGTCGTTTGTGTGTATGTATGTGTGTGGACGGGCCAGAGGTGGGAACAACCGGCTGGCGCGCCATAGCCTTTGTAACTGTCAGGAAAACAAACGAATAAATCAGTTGTTGAGCCGAATGAATCCTCCAAGACGTGGCCCCGCTGACATTGTTGCACTTGTTGTTGCATGTCGTCGCAGGCATCCCAGAAATAGGTCTGTGGCCCGAGAAAATACGCCCAGTGCTGTTTATGCCATGTCAGGTGTGATGTACTGCGTCCAATTTTCCACTCCCCTTGCATAAAGTTCGTCAGGCGGCGTTGTCAGACTTTCCTGTTTCAAAGACATTGCAGATTCTAGCGAAGCCATCCTCGCATATTTCCCCTTCTTTCCTCTGCAGCCTATTTTTTTTTCCTTTCTCCTTTCTTGCACTTTTTAACCGCATTCAGTCTAATTTGCCTGGACAGGCGCTTTTCCCCCTCTTTTTATTTACCGTGGTGTATCCGTTTATTTATTCACAACAGCCAGTATCCGGCGATGTCTGCGGGCGGCCACTACCATCGACATTACCAGCAGGCATCCCCGCTTCCCCCCAAGCGACAGCGCGAGGATTCGGAGGAAAAGGTATCGAACATTCGGTCGCTGCTTAACGACACTGACAGCGATGCCATGCTGCCTGCCACAAACAGCAGCATGTCCATCAACGTGTTGACGGCACAGCATCCACAGCATCCACAGCAGCACAAGCGCAGCGAGGCGAGAATGGCCCAGTACGTTAAGCCCGTGTATCGGCCAAGCCACTATAACGAGAGCCGTCAACAGATTGCTATGCGTTCCGGGTGCCTTCATCAGCAGCAGCCACTTGTGGTCCAGCCCATCGCCTCGGGTAGCTTCAGGGTCCAATCAGGATCTGATGCATCGGCCCAGCAGCAGCAGCGGCAACAGCGCCTGTCCCGAGGCATTATGCCTGCGACTGCCAATGGCACCGGGCAATCAGCAGCACCTGTCGGTTTTGTCGGTCACCCACGAGCCGAACCCGACCCATCGTCGGATAAACTGGCGACTGGAGATTTGCCGCCAGCGATTCGTGAACCAACAGACCCAATGGATCGCCCGCGTCACTCAATTCCGACGCTGGTCACAAAAGTGGACTCCGCAAACCAGCAGCGCCAATTACACGAACCCGGTTCCGCGGTTGACCACTTTACAACTCATGGCGGAGTTGGTGGGGAGACCCAGTCACCGGAGCCAATTGCAGCTAATGGAAAGGGGGCTACGAGGGGCGACCCTGGCGTCACTGCTTTCACGCAGGGTGTTGCGCGAACTGATGTCGGCCAGTCGTCGAGTGATGCACGGTTCAGGCCATACCCGGAAATCGGTAGCAGCTCGCTGCCGGACTCGGCCTCGCATGTTGATGACGAACAATCAGCGGACAGACTGCCCCAGACTGCAGCCGAGCCCGGCCGCCAGGACGACTCCCAGGCACAGCGGCGGCGGCGGCGAACGCAGGCGTGCGAGTACTGCCACCAGAAGAAGATTAAGTGTGAGGGTGAGGGTACCCGCTGCATCAACTGCATCAAAAACGACATCCAGTGCATTTGGGGCCAGAAGCGCAAGCGTGGGCCCAAGCCGAAGCCGCTGTCGGCGGTGCTCAGCAAGACTCCGGTCCCGAGGGTCGCGTGCGCAGAGGGCGGCCAAGGGGGGCAAGGGCAAGCCGTCAATTACCGTGGTTACTGGCGCTCCTGCGCAGGCGCTCGCACCATCAGCAGAGTCTGATGCTCGGTCACTAACGCCGGCGACGCCTATACGCGATGACCAAGTGTCTGAGTCGGCAGAGTACGCGGATGTAGATGCTGTGCCGGAGGGACTGAAGGCGCCGTCGATGCATCGTGAGCTGCAGGAGTTCTTCTCGGGCAAGGTCGACCTTGAAACACGCGAGGCAGTGACCATGTACTTTGACTACTTCTACCCGCTGTGTCCGATATTCCACCCGTCACTGTTTATCCGAAGGGTAGTGGAGAACGACGTCGACCCAATTCTGATTGACGCGATGAAGGCGACGACGGCCCGGATGCTCTCGGCGAAGACAGGGAGGTTTATTGATGGCGATGCGCTGGCAGAGAGCGTAAAAGCGAGAATTATTTCACATTTGGAGACGCCGTCGATTGACTACGTGCGTACAGTTGTCATCATGACACTGCTTGCCGGCTGTCGGGGCGAGCACTGGTCCTACAACTCGCTTATCGTGCTGGCTGCCAGCCTGGTTACTCGCTGCGGGTGGCACCAGATCGACCTGTATCGCCGCCCGCCCCCGGCGACGTGGGAGGAATGGGTCAACATGCAGATAAAGCGCCGTATCTTTTGGATAGTCTATCAGACGGACAGCTACCAGTCGATGCTGACTGGCCGGGGAACAACTATGAACGAGTCCAGCGTCTATGTGAGAACCCCGTGCTCGGACTATGAGTGGGACATTGTTCTCAAGCAGGGCACTGACGGGCCGTCGCTGGCCACTCATGTCAACACATCTGATGCCCTGGCTCGCGTCAAACACCGCCCGTCGCTGTCCTCGTCCGGCTCGTCGTCGTCTCTGATGCAGTCGATGCGCGTCGACCAGGACATAATTGTAGCAACTGGTGCCTTTTCATACTCGTTCATGGCGCTGAGCGAGCTGACATCCATCATCTCCAACACCAACATGTTCCTGTGCGATGCCAAGGCCAGCCGCGACTCCCTGGGCGTGTTGTCCAGCTCGTCCTGGCCGAGCCTATCGCCGTTCCGTGACAGCCCGTTTCCTGCGCTGAATTTCCTCAACCAGACGCCAGGCACTGGTCGGCTCGCATACCGGCCCAAGCGCACTGTCAGACTTGTGTCCGACTACCCGCGGTTTGGCGAGCTCGACTACAAGCTGCCAGGACTGGAAGCGCAACCTGGTGCTTCCAGAGGAGCTGCGCGACGAGTCAATGCCAGCAGGGGATATCTCATACTTTGGGCAGGCCGACCACCGCCGGTTCATGATGCGGGTGAGGTACTTTTGCCTGCACTGCTACTATGTGCCCATTGCAATATTCTTGCACCAATCCAACCGTCCCTCGTTCTTCACCGAGTACGAGGAGCCGCCAGAGCTCCGGGGCAGCGATCGGACGCCGATGGCAGTGCAGAGTCCGGCTATGATGCGGCAGCGGGCGACAGGGCTCTGCGCGAAATGCTCAACATGGCCTTTGCCAATACGTGGAATGCGGGTTTAGTAGCGAATGATATCGAGCCGAAATCCTGGCAAGTGTGCCTTGATGCTGCGCACGGGCTGTCTGACACTTGGAGCGCAACCAGGACATGCCGCTAGAGCGCTTCGACCAGGTCATTCCCTTTTGCATTTTCATGTCGTCATCTGTGCTCTGCGACAAACAAAAAAGTGCCGGAGGATCTTGGCCGAGCGCCCGCCAGGCCAGACTGGACAAGGTCAGAGCAGAAATTGCCCTGTGCACACGCCATCTTCAGCACCAGTGGACGACACTGAAGGGGCTGGGCGAGCTGTGGAACGTTGCGGGCATGGAGATGCTGCTGAAGTCGATGCAGATTGATGAGGTGACCAATGCTGCTGATCTTTTCTCGTCCCTGTCGCTGTGAGCTTTACCACATATTGAAAGGTGATTGTCTTACGCTATTTTATTGATCACTGTAATGTATATTGGACATATATTTCATCCTCCCCCCCACGAATGGTGTGCGATGGATACATTACTGTCCCATGTTGCGCCGTGATTTTTTTTTTTTGCAGACGGCTGAATCTGTGAGATGCCGAGCCACTGACCTGCTTCTGCTTCTGCTTTTGGCCGACATCGCAAGCTGCATGGTTATTCACGGCAAGGATTGCTCCAGGGAATCCATGCCGGCAACAGAAATCCCGGCGTCTGAAATTTTTCTTCCCCAAAACCACACGGACCGGCATGTGGTTGCCTGAGAAATCATAGAAAGCGGATGTTTGTGTCTTTGGTGGAATCGCAGAGTCCCTCCCAGTAGTCCTGCGAGCTGCAGCCGTCTCAGCCGCATATTAGACATGCAAACACCTTTGCTGCTCGCAGCCTAGCTGCGTGTTGACAAACATCGAAGGCAGCGCCCAGCAGATGTGCACTATGAAGCCGACTGGGGCGGACTAGTCCTGGGCTAGGATGCGATAGCCTGGGCTGCACACATGCGATCTCAGTGATTTCCCCTGCCAGCACTAGGCCTACACAATACCTGGCCAGCATCCCTACTTTGGACCCTTGTGCTTTTTCCTTTCCCTTGCCAGTTTCACAATCCTTTCCCTTTTTCGTCTTTTTTTGTTTCTTCATATCTTTTAAGGATATTTCATAGCAGCAATGGCACAGCAGCAACCGGGCCGTAGCCACCCGCAGGCAGGCGGTGGACAGGTGCGTGGCCCAACGCTACCGCCTATAAGAAACTTGGTTTCAAACATCCCGCCCACCTACAGGGCTCAGCGCGGGCTACCGCCCATGATTCCCAGGGAGCCAGGCAACAGTCGACCTCACAATGAGCCAGAAACTCAGCCAGTGTACAACTTCGTCCACAGCCACCACCACCCCCACCACCACAGCCAGGCATGCCTGGGGCTGTGCACGCACCACCCGCACCACCCGCACCACCTTCCGCCATTTAATGGCCACTCGCCACTCGGGCAATTCGCCATCACCAGGAGGCACCCTTGGTGCACCATCGACATCACCCTTACAGCCCAGCGATGATGGCGGGTTTCGATTTTGCACATGGCCAGCCCCCACGCACTCCCGGCCCTGGCCAGCACCGGCCTACATATCTGGCCCTCCGGTGATGGGGCCGCCAATACCGGGTATCCGCATGGCCTGCCGCCGCCGCCGCCGGTAGATTATGCGGCTTATCATCAGCATGATTTTGTCTTCGGACGGCGGAATCGGCGCACGCAGGCGTGCAAGTACTGCAACAAGAAAAAGGTGCGGTGCGAGGGCGGCAATGGCGACAAGGGAGCGCCCTGTGATATGTGCGTGCGGCTGGACATTCGGTGCGAGTGGGGAGAGAGGAGGAAGCGCGGGCCCAAGCCGAGGACAGACGACAAGCCAGCACACGTCCCCGTGCCGTTTATCCATCCAGCCAATATACCGCAGGGCGATGCGCGGGGTGGCCACAGTGTCGCGGCGCTATCTGCATCTGCATATGCAGACAGGCGTGCGGTGGAAGCGTCAGGGTCACGGGATGCTGACACCGCAGGCTCGCCATCGGCAGCGACTGGGAAGAGCACTGGTGCTGCGGGTGGATCCAGCAGCCAGACAGCCGGACAGCAGAGCGCGAAGGGGATCATGGAGTCACCTGGCCGACTCGCTGTCCAGGGGCTGGGGGCAGAGGACCACAGCAGGCACAATGGCGAGGCTGATGGGTCAAAGCTCGAGCACGACCCCGTGTACCTGAACTCGGAGCCCCGGCAGATTGCCAAGACCGACTCGATGAACAGCCGCACCGAGCACACGCCCTCCTCGGTCGGCGGAATCAGCACCAGCGACTTCATCGCGCCATCAGTTGAGAATTTGATGCAGCAAGTAAACTCGAGCAAGGTCGATGCAGATACACGCGAGGCCGTGATGGCATACTTTGACTATTTCTACGCGTTCTCGCCGACGCTTCACCCGTCGACATTCCTACGACAGCTCGTGGACGGGAACGTCGACCAGCTGCTGATTGATGCGATAAAGGCGATGACGGCGCGGTTTATCACGGCCAAGACGGGTCGCAAAATCGACCCCACGCCGTACATCGACAATGTCAAGCGCAACATGATTATGCACATCGAGGAGCCGTCGCTGGATATCATACGCGCTATCCAGATCATTGCCATGAATGAGGCGTGTGTGGGGCACTTCATGTCGTACAATACGCTGATGTGCACTGTCGCCAGCATGATAGTGCGGCTCGGCTGGCATGAGATGGACTTGTACCGGACGCTGAAGCCAAAGACGTGGGAGGGGTGGGTGGAGGCAGAGACCAAGCGCCGTGTGTTCTGGCTTGTATACCAATCGGACTACTATCTGGCGCTCATGTCGGGCAGGCCGGCCATGATCCCTGAGAACATGGTGTACGTGCGTGCTCCATGCGCTGACTCCGAGTGGGATGAGTTCAACTTTTCGCTGGTTACCAAGACGCCGGAGTCGAGAGACCCGCCGATGGCCAGCACCGAGCCACGAGCAGCGTCAGCACCCACAGCCGGCGCCACGGCTCGTGATCGCGATAGCGACAACGATGATAGTGGCAGCGACATCGGCGAATTCACATTTGAGCAGCAGTGGATCTGGAGCAACTCCGACGACAGCTCATCGCCGCAAACAGTCCGCCGCATAG